CGCCGCACTGAACGTTCAGTGGAGGCTGCTCAGTGGTAAGAGTCTGTGTGACATCAAAGTTTCCCAAAGTCACTTTCTTAATCGTGTGAAGGATTACCAAGGCTCTGATCACAAGTGTGTAGCTATATACAATCAGAAGGAAAACATTTAAACATCCCAGCATGGTATTTCCATTTAAATCTGATTACAGTGAAATAAAACTGTAGCCATTAAAGGTTTAGAAGAACTACAAATACAAGCCGTAAAAGAAGACAGATAGTAAATGAGGCAGTAAAGCATTTCAGCAGGGCACACAGTTTATAGCGCTCATTCTGCCTTCCCGAAGCAGACTGTGCAATTCACTGCAGACCCCGCACCACTCTCTGAACTCCACTTAAACCTGCAATTAACCTCTCACGCCTAATGAAGCTGTTTTCCTGGAAAATTAAAATATATAGTGGTGCTTGCTTTTACACAGACTTGGGAGGAAAGCATTTCAAAATGAATGACTTTTTCCCAAGGTTTCTATTCAAATGTAAAATGCAAGCGTGATGTCTGTGTAGGATGCTAGAATGTTCTTTCCAAAGCAGTTTCGTTTGATGTACAATATTTATTACTACACTCATTAATTGTTTTTGCGTAATTGTAAAGAAACACACACATCGGTGATTTTATGATTACACTGTTACTGCCAGAGTCTCCTGTTTCCAATTGGCTTCCATGGGGGAAAGCCAGGGTTTTACAAACAGTCACTAAACTCCTGATGTGTCCCTAGTGTCTGACGAAGATGTATTTGCCAGTCAAGTGTTTGATTATCAGCTATTTATGTTCCGTTCTGTTCTGGACATGCTTGTACGTGCTTGCAGAGAGGCGAAGGTCTCAAATTTTAGGAAGCAAATATAGTTCAGGTCACAACTGAGTCTAATCTTGGTACATTGTTCTCCCCACTTACAAGATGGCTGTAGTAATTTTTGGCACCCAGCACCATGGCTGCCAGACCACGCCCATTTTACTGGAGGAAATCCTGATGAAAGTGCCTACCTCCTTCACATCTTGTTCCCACCTGGGTGACCCAGGGCAGCAGGTCTGCAATGCCGGGAAGTCATGGGGGATGGTCACATGAGAGGTGGACTTTCTCACTCATGTGGTTTAGACTTGGAAGTTAAATAGCGTGTCACGGTGCCTGGTATTTAAGAACCAAAAAATACAAGGAGCTAAGGCTTACAGTAAATATTTAAACGCTAGCATTTTTATTGAGTCTGTGGGTATATATCGATGTACTTTGTACTAGCTCCCAGTGCCTGTGCGTCACCATGATATGGTAAATGAAATTCCTTTAGACGGCCAGTCTAAGATAATGAATTGTTCCCACAGTTAATTGTATTGCCTTGATAACAAGAAACTATTGGAGGCCTAGAGAACACAATAAGTGGGTTTCATCAGATGATTTGTGTGACGTTTTGAAAAATGATCCTCTGGAGTGACCTGATTTTAATGGAACTGCAGTGGCACTCAGCACAGGCCGGATCCGATAGGGTTCTTCCTCCCCGTGGTAATCAGCAGAGGGCTGTCCCAGGAAAAGCCCTGACAGGGAGGAGCTCCGCACACTCCAGACTGGGAAGACAGCAGGGCACCTCTTAGAACCCATTTTTGGGTTACTTTGTTGGCTTGTACCTTGTTTTAAAACACAGAAAAGACCCCCATCTCATCATTGCTGACATGGAAATGAAACCATAGTCTACGTGAAAACAAGTGAAAGCTATTTATTTCAAGAGCCTGCTTTTGGAAGGTAGTTGGTCACCTTCCCTTGAAGACTTGCCAGCGGGCTATGGAGTGGGGAGGCTTCAGAGGACAAGGGGGAAGCTGTTGCGTCCAGAATGGAGAGTGTTGGGTTACAGGAGCTGTGGGGGAGAGGCTAACTACAAGCAGGTGTGCTGCCCAGTTGGTTAGGGTGAACATCTCCCTCTTCCTAGTTGCCCTGCTTTGCAACTGAAGACACGGATCAGGTAGGCTGCCTGGTTATTCTTGAGGCCTAACTGTTTGGGAAGGTAGGCGTTACTGAACTTCACGAGCAACCTGCATTCCCACCAGCGTGACTTCCTGCTTGCTGGCATCCCGCGCTGCTCCTTGCCTCTCGTGGGCTGGTTTTCTGAGCATGCAGCAGGTGACAAGCCTGGGCTCTTGTTTTAGGGTCTGGATATTGTCTGTATGTCCAGTCTGCCCCTCGCATGCAACTTAGTAGGGGATTGGAGAGAGATAACACCCCTCCTTATAAAGCTACTGAGCCAAATTCTCTTCTTGTCATTTAATGAAAGCAGAACAATGAGGCATGCCAATAACTGAAGCTAGAGACTAGGCCTCCCCACATCCACGTGTCCCTACCCAATGCGGGGGAAAAATGGGGTCTGTCTCAGTCCCTCACCCTCGCAGGCAGGTAGGATGAAGACAATGTCTGGTTGTCCTGGGGATTATAAAGTTTGCCCTGTATCAAACAGGAAGAAGCGTAAAACCCAGGAATAAAACCTCTACATTTGACATCCAAGTAACACAAGCACAAGCAATTATTGTCATCTTTATGCTGTACATAATTATGAGATTATGAACTCCCGAGGGGCCAGAAACCATGAGAATCTGGTAAGCGAGTCAACCTTACCCCGAGTGAAAAACTCATTTAACCTATGCACAAGGTTTGAAAGTGACCCTGAGCGTCCTCTGTAACTGCACAGGGTGAACGACACTTGGATACCACTCACCAGAGGATCCCACGGTTCCCAGCATGCTTAGAGCCGTTCCTACAGAGCCTAAGCAGAGTTAATTGTTGATTTCTATAGGACAGCACAAAAAGCTGCCAACTTCAAAGTCAGCATGGCTTTCTATTTTACTTGCGTATTAACTGAGATGTGGTTTATGAGTTTTCAGTTCAATGTGTTCCCACACTTCAGAATCCTGGGGTAAACCCATAGTGTTGTGAGAGGCGGTGCTTTAGTTAGGCTTTGAATTTCATGAACTCCCAAAGACAAAGACACCACGACAATGCTGAACTATCAGAGAATGTCCCGTTTTGGCATCTGAAGCCTTTTAATTCACTCCTGGTGTTACATCCACTGTAAGGGGAACGACATTTGGAGCTACATGTAAATGAAAAGGTACTTTTCAGAGCTCTGGCACGATTTCACATTTGGATGTAGTAATCATCACAGTGAGTGTAAATCACCTCTGTCCTCAGTAAAGGAGTCGTGTATCTACCCTTCTATCTGCTGTCTCCAGTCAAGTTGGTGCCAGGAGCAAATGGGCAGGAAGTTGTAAACTTTGACAGAAGTACTCCAGGGGACCCGAGGAAACGTGAAATCTGCTCCATCTGAACTTACAATTAGGGTGACCAGAGGCTGTGGTTTCTTTTTTTAAAAACTAAATCCATGAAGTAAAGAAATAAAGTATTTACCACGAGTCAACCCTCCCACTCAGTCTGTGGTGCTTCAGGAGTTCACATTGGGCTTGCCAAAGAGCAAGAAGGAGCTTCTTACAAGCTCGAGCCTGCATTATCTCCAAAAAACGTCAGCGTGGTATTAGCATTCCGAAGAGTTCCTTGGCAGCAGCCCCTAGAGGGTAAGTGTGTGTAGTATTCCGTCTCTGTCTAGCCATAGCTGCTCCTCCGCCATGGCCTGCGGTCTCCAGCTGGCCCTGAGTGTATCCAAGCAGAGGACGTCTAGCCGTGAGCTCACCGCATTTCTCCTTCCACTCTGCCTCCCTGTTCGGAAAATGTTCACTCGCCCCTCTCTCTCTGTTCAACATCTTAAGCTGGGGACTTAACTGGCCAACTCCACTGGTCGTACTTCCCCGCTCAGCATCCACTGAGGGTGGATCAGAGATGACCAAAATCTACTGTGAGGGAACCCAGTGGCCTCTGGCTAAGGCCCTCTAAGGTTGGATGATCTTCCACAGGCCGTCTTTTGTCCCATTCATCCTTCATTGTCACTTCTTTCTGTTCAGAAAGCCCCGCGTTCTTGCCAGATCACATAGAAGCTTACGTAGAATAAACTGACCATGAGAATGAAGCGACTCAATAGCATCTTATGTGGGATAATCCCCCAAATTAAGATCACGTGAAGATGCCCGAGGATGTTAGGACCAGCTCAACTCACTTCAAAGTCAGTTCTCCAAGACCTTGGCCTTCTTCTGTCAGGTCTGAAGCAAGGCCAAGCATCCTGGCCCCTGTGGTGAAGGATGTGGATTTTAGACTACTTTTTTTGTTTGTTTGTTTGTTTGTTTTTTACTCAGGAATTATAAAGCTCTACAGAAACAAAAGGGCCATTCTTGCTAGGGGCAGGGAGGATAAATTATGGTCACACAGGATTTTCAGGGAAACAAAACTATCTGTGTAGCAATATGGTAGCTCTGTGATGTGAGCTGGTGGAAAGCCATGGGCCTGCTAATAATGGAAGCCACCAACCTCAAGTGGCAATCTTGTATCAGTGTCCAGTTTTTCCAGAAACATAACAGTGCTCAAGGAAGCCAACCTCAAGTGGCAATCTTGTATCAGTGTCCAGTTTTTCCAGAAACATAACAGTGCTCAAGGAAGCCACCAACCTCAAGTGGCAATCTTGTATCAGTATTCCATTTTTCCAGAAACTTAGCAGTGGGAGCAGGAAGCCATCAGCCTCATGTCGCAATCTTGTATCAGTGTTTAAAACTTAACAGTGCTCCAAGCTTCTTTTAAAAGACGCATCTAATGAGTTTTATTTGTAGAAGTAACCTTGGAGATTCCCAGTCCACCCGGAACAAACTGTTCCACACAGAAATGAGGTGACGAGTTGTGTCCACAGCCGACTGTCGTGCTTCCTCAAGCTCTGACTCAGTTGCCCAGTGTTACAGCCAGGCAGCTGCTTTGTCCCTCTCCTGTGTGTTGTTCTCTGGTTCGCCAGTAAGCACCTGAACACTTCCTAGCCAAACATTATCCAGAGCTGTCCATCGCAGATGTCTTTGTGAACGTCTAAATGCCTCTCTCTCTCCTTTCTTTCCAGGCCTTGCTATCGCCAGTGCCCTGATAGACATTTCACAGCAGAAGCCTTCTGATAACAAAGACAAGACTTCTGGAGTCCGCAACCGGAAACACCTCTCCACACGCCAAGGAACTTGTGTCTGAGTGGAAATCACTCCCGTGCTGTGTGCTGGTTTACTTCACAAATGGCTTCTATTAAAGCTGTTCTGCTGCGGCCTTGGGTTTTACAGAGGTCAATGTCCTATGATCCGGGGCCCCAAGCTCAGTTCCCTCTAAGTGGGCGATGTCCCAAGTGGCCAAAGAATGCCAGGGAGTTTTTTAAAGTAACAGTATTGATGGTCACAAGTGATAAAGTCAGTTTTTATGGCTCCCTTAGGCTTAGAGCTAACATAACTTACTATGGAAAAAGATGTATATTGTTTCTTAATGCAGATGGAAATATGTAATTCATATAAACCAACTGTTTATATCCCAAGACTTTAAAGAAAGACATTTTATAATGCTTGAATGGTGAGAAATGTACAGTTTTTGCCTCTTAGCAAACTTAGATTATTTGAGTATGAGTAGGAAATGAACAAATCATGGCAGCTGTAATTGCTGTTTTGTCTCATGATAAATATGAAAGCAAGGCTTTTATTTAATAAGCTGTAGGTCATGTGGTTAAATTCTTCATGTGACCACATAGTATCCAGAGTCAGTTTGAGAATGTAACAATTTCCAACTAATAGGAACCTGGACCAGAGAGAGAGTTGGTCTGGATGCGTGTGTGGCAGGAGCTTCCTTAGAATTGTGAGCATGGGGACATTCCTGAAATGACAGAGCATGGAAAAGACTGCCTGGCAATCAGTGTCCCCTCCTCCCACAAACAGCCTCCAGTTCAACAACCAGAAGACTGCCAGCATGGTCATTGGATAGCAGAGTTTCTGGTGCCGACGGTAGTGCTTTGGTTGCCTGGGAATCTCAGTGCCACTACCCAGCCAAAGTGTTCCTCTGGGTCTCCACCAGAAGGTGTCATTTTCTTCAAACCTTCTTCTATTCCCTGGAATTTATTTACCTCTTACAAGTGTTAACAAAACGTATCTTAAAGGTGAAACTTTCCAAGTTCCCTGCTACCAGCTTCTTCCAGTAGAATGCAGGCAGACAAGAAGGCAGCCCGGAGAGCATCAGCAAACTCCATCCCCGATGCAACCGCACCGCAGTCACACCGTGCGGTGAAATGTCCACAGTTCAAAGACAAACTCGTGGGTGGCCACATCCGAAACATCCCTAACGACACAAAGTCCTGAAAAACAGCATGAAGGAAAAGCTAAAGGGCAGCTCTCACATGGAATGGTCATTTGTGTGCTAACGCCGACTGCACAGTTCACCCAAGTTCAGTCTGGAGTGGCTGTGGTTGACTTCAGGGTGAGCACAGGCCAGCTGAGAACAATGAACAAGAACCCCAAAGCTGCTGCATACTCTGTAGTCTTGTTTGATATGAGAGTCGTCGCATCTAATCAACGTTAAGTACTGTATGCACACTTTCCGTGTCCTTCGGAATTCTGGAAGGGGATGGCACTTTACAGTTAACGCCTCATCACTTGCATGCCAGGGTTGTACAGTAGCAGAATATGACCCTATTCCAATATCAAATATTTATTTCAAATTCCATGTATACATAGCTTAATTTGATGAGGATCGAGTGTACTATGTAACAGAAATGACCACAGAATATGTACATCTAGCCATGACTGTCTTATTTTGATAACTAGCCCTTTGAATACAGTATATATTCTTTATGTTGGCATGATAACTTCACTATATTTTCCATGCACTCAAAATCAGATGAATTTGTAGAATAGTTTTAGTAATTTTTCTCTACAGCCTGTGGGGTTTGGATGGGAGAGGGAGAGCTGTTTGCTGGTCCTTCCCAGGAGATTTTTTTTCTCTCAGAAAATTATTAGAGCTGAATTTGTAATTGTCTCCTAAAAATAATCAAGTAATGTGATCAACTTCTTTTGAACACTTTACATGTTGATATATTTTTTTTAACCCATGAAATAATAAATTGGGCAAAACCGGTCATTATAAACATCTAGTCATTTGAAAATGAAACAGTTGCTCATTTTGTTTAATCCCCAACATCTGTCACTGGAGAAAGCTCATACGACGGAAAGAGAAGTCACCAGACCCGTGTGAGTCATCACAGCTTCCGGCAGTCATTACCAGTATGGAGGAGCTGTCCGCTCTCATCCACCGTGAATCCCACAGGGTTCTTAAAACTTGAAAATTTGAATTTCAGAGAACTATGGAATTTAATGCAATGTCACACTCTACCGTCAACTCTGTGGCCAATTATGCAATATGTTCTTGGCATATAAAGCTTTTTACTGGAAATAAAATTCTTCACCCCAGGTGAAGTTTGCCAAAGGCATCATTCTGTGTGTTCTGCTCTTCCCTCCCACCTCCCCAAACGCTTTATATTAAATGCCTCCCCTCCTTAACAATCAAATCGCATGTATGTGCAGAATCTCCCTGAGAAGTTAGGAGTTCAAACGGTTGATTCTTTTGAAAACGTCTCTAATGGGATTCTTGGTTATCTCAGCGTAGAATGACTTGAGGAACACTCATGGCGGAAGGTCTCACTCCGCTAGGTACAAGCACTTTCAGTCCACTGGAATTGTGTTCAGAAATTAACTTAGGAACATTATGTGGGCAACTAGAAGAATCCTACTGAAAACACAGTATGTTTGTGTTTACCAGTTGGTTTAGTGAACTTTATAGAGATTAGAGTTAAAGAGAGTTAAGAGTCCCATAATTGCTTTGAAGGAGTGAAAAGTTAGTGACATGCAAAAAAAAAAGCGATCTACATTGTAGTGTGCCCTGTGTGTGTGTGTGTGTGTGTGTGTGTGTGTGTGTGTGTGTGTACATGGCAGGTATCTCCCTCAGTCATTCTTCAACGTTCCACCTTACTTGATTTGATCCCATTTGACTTTTGAGACAGGATCTCTCACTGAGCCTGGCGGTTGCTGACTTATCCAGAATGGCAGGCCAATGACTCCTGGGGATCTGCTTGTCAGTGTCCCCAGTGGACTCTGGAGGATTGAACCCAGGTCCTCAAGCTTGTGGGACAGACACTTGGCCCACTGACCCATGTCCCAACCCTGTCCTGTTCAACAGGAAAACATTAACTAGAGCATCCATCCAGTCAATTCTGCTGTACTTTCTGATATCTCATTTTCTTCGTGCTCATGAGACAGAAGCCCCTGTGTGGTGACCATTGTCCCTGCCATGGGATCATTTAGAGAGTGTCTGCAAGAGGTGTGTGGTGCTGGGACAGTTTTGAAGCCCGAGTCCTTCCACCGGAGCCCCCTGTGGGCCCAGAGGTAGCATAGCTGGTGCAGTTATGGGGCCACCAGGCCAGTTCTTCCCTCCCATCTAGTAATTTTTATGCATCCTTCCAAGTCAAGTACGTTTGTTCAGAAACACATCCTGTGCCTCTGGGATCTGGAGATTTCTAACCCTGCCTGACATTTGCAGCAACAGAACGAACGCTGGTTCTAAATCCGTGGTTTGGTTGAGCATTTTTTTATGTGATGCCTGGATGACATCTATACAGAGCCTCAGTGCCATTGCTCACCCACAAACAAGACTTGGTTGTTTTTGTTTTTTTTTTCATTTTTTTCTCAGTGCCCGAAGAACTACCAAAGAAGCAGGTTTTGTGTTTTAAATGCTTCAGAAGCTGGGAACCCAGCTCCACTTTTAATTGCAAAACTCACTTGCTTCCTCCCAAGAGTGAGCTCAGGGTTTAATCGATCATAAAGTCTTCAGTTAGGGCAGATTCCCATCTTCAGACTCAAGGACGACGGGGTGGCCTGTGGGACACTGTGCTCAGTAAGCTGCCAGAGGCCCTTACTGACAGACGAGCAAAGGGACACACTGCCCTGGGCCTGAGCTGCCTTTGCAGCTCCATGGAGTTCTTTAAATTAAGTCATCCCTCTATTTCCTAATGCTTTGCATAATGTTCCAAGGACTCAGGCCACTGTATGCTCAGCAGTGGTTTCCAGAGGTACACAGTTAACATTTTAGTTTTACCAAATTCCTTAAAATAAGAATTATGATTGTAATTGTGTGTGTGTGTGCGCGTGTGTGTACATGTAGGTGTGCAAGCCTGTGTTAAACACTGATTGTGTAAACATTTAAGTCTGCCTTTAGAAGTGTATATTTTAGAATATGATTTGCTACTAATTGGAATTTTAGTTGTTAATGTAAAAACATTGGCTTCTCCAGGCCCTGTCACCAAATATAGGATTTTATGTGTATGTGTTGGAGGGCAGGAGTCTTTTGTTTTGTTTTGTTGTTTTCCAAGAGTCTTGCTATATAGCAGAGGCTAGCTTCAAACCTGTAGTTCTCCTGCCTCTTGTGTTGAGATCACAGGTCAGCAGCACTATGCCCATCTGCTGCTGCTGTTTCTATTAGTATTTTGACCATGTTGACCTTTCCGAGATAATCCAGCAAAGAGCACCCCTTCTCAGGGTCTGGAAGGACCCCCCCCCAGGACAGTTGTGAAACTTGTGTGGCTGGTTTCACATTCAGAGCAAATCATTCCCCCATCCCTCTTCAGGTTCTCAATGACCTTTCCCCCACATGCTCTCTGAATCCTGTGCTGAACTGGGTTTTTCTTGGAAGGGAAGTCTGTACCGTGAGAGACAGTTGCAGGGCATCAGCCCTCAGCGAGGCTCTGAACCCTTGGATGTTTCCTGCTAACATCTCTCAGGGCTGGACCTTGCTCATGCTAAGCCGAGGGTTTCACCACTGAGCTGTGACCCCAGCTCTCCGGGGCTCACTGAGTTGCCAAAGGCTAAATGTGAACGGGAGACCCTCTTCCTCCTAACTCTCCTCAGCTCCCCCAGCAACCCTTACATGCTTCACAGCAAGCTTCTAAGCCCTGCCTGGGCTCTGCCAGCCACACAGAAGGATGGAACACCCTGCTGGGTTGAAGAGGGGACTCAGTTAACAAGTGCTCACCCTGTGCCCTGCAAGCATGAAGACCTGAGTTCTAGCTCCAAGGGCATATAAGGGGTTGGATGTTGGGACAGGAGAGGTGGCTCAGATGACATTTAGAGCATGTACTGCACTTGCAGAGAGGAACTGCGCTTATCTCCCAGCATGCATGGAACGGCTCACAAAATGCCTGTAACTCCAGCTTCGGGGGTTCCAGCACCGGCTTCTGACATCGTGGCCACCTATATTCCTGTGCACAGACTCTGGCAAGGGACAACAACTTGTAATCCTAGTGGCGGGGTCTCAGAAATAGGCAGATTCCCTAGGGGACCTGGAACTTGCTGGCCAGTATGGATAGTTTAATTGCTGCTAGTCTCAAAAAAAAGGGAGAGTGTTGGGAGATATCAAGATGCCTGCCGCCCAGTCCAAAGAAGTGTGCCCGGACTAGATGGGAACTTTAGAATGGAGGAACCTTGGGAGAGGCCCAAATGAAAAACAGCCTGGTCAACAGGAAGCCCCTTCAATTCAGGCCCTGCTCACCTCACCTGTGCCCCGCCCTGCTCACTCTCCTCCTCACCCACCCTGTGGTCCTCTGCACTCCTCATTCTCAAGCTTTTTAATGGGTTTATGGCGGCATGGAGAATTGTGGGGTTTGGCTCTAAAGTGATTTTAGGGAAATCAGCCTAGGTTTCTGAGTGGCTGCTGTGAACCCCACACACTCTTCCATCCCCACCCACGGCCTTTTGAATACCACTCTCGTCTGCTGTCTAAACACAGAGCTGTCCTATCATTGTGGATACTTGTATACAAACTAAGGTCTCTGCCCTTTCTTGGTCCTCACCTCTGGATCCCTAGTTTAGACCTCCTGCTGAAGAGATAAAGAGATAATCCTCCCCATTCATATGCCGGGAGGGTTGCAGCTGTTCTGAGACACGGAGGAAACCCATACTCTGCTCACCACCGGGTCTGTCCGAGCTGCTTTTGGCAGAAGTGTTTTTGCTCAGGTGAGACAGTTCTTTAAGCTCAGGCTGCTCTGAACTAGCTTTGTGTAGATCATGCTCTAGGAAATCCACCTAGGAAAATAATATTATTAGTGAATATAGATTCTTGTAACAATTGATTTCCTGGCTTTCTATTCCCCCGGTGCCCAAAGGCATCTTAGATCACGTACTCTCTGGTGATGTGTTAAGTTACCTTAGAAGTTGGACACAATCAAATTTTGCTATAAAGTCAAATGACAGTCCCCGTTTTTAATGCCTTAGGTCAGTTGTCTAAACTGTTTCTAAGTGAACTGTGCTAAAAAAAATGCTTACCTAAGAGGGTGGCAAGGGGACACATTGGGGGAATATAGCTTGGATGAAAATGTCCTTAAGAACTCAGTACTCTTGTCAATAAATATACACCAATAAATAGAAGAAAGAAGAACACTTACCTACCTCACCCATCTCTGTGGCTTCCCTGTTACTGTCATTGGAGACTTCAGAGGGGACCATGGTTGTTCACCTGTTACTATGGAAGAGTCCGAAGTTGAACGCAGCAGATCATGAGCACTCCTGCTTGTTTCCTTTGAACTTCGAGGGCGTGCACACCTGTGTGTGTCTGTGTGTGTGTGTGTGTGTGTGTGTGTGTGTGTGTGTTGAAGGAGGGGATACCAAAGTTCACAGAGATGCCAAACTCCCAAATAAATTAATGCTCAGTGTGCAGTCAGAACCTCTGGAATGCATTCCTTGTGATCGAGACATGGGCTTTTCAAGTTGACGGGATGCCTTTTACATATTTCACGACTAAATGTCACCTTCCTTCCCTGTAAATGGGGGTCTTGTGACAAACAAGCACAGGTCTCCACCCTTTCATGCACCAGGCAGTCGGCTGCGGAACAGCACGCCCACACCCCTATCATGCCCTTAAGAACAAATAACTAGCATAACATCCTTGCTCTCTCCCGAGGATGCTGGCTTGTTTGATATACGATGGCACTTGAGAGGGAAGGCCAGCTGGAAGGACACCAGTAAAAACACTAGCTCTGCTTAAGACAATTTGATTTCAACCTGGAATGAATTACTTTCACAAGGCAAAACAGGACATGTGGCTCGCCAGGACATGTCCCAACTCCAGGTGCACTTGAAGCCCGCTGGCTGGAGGGCAGCAGAAACCTCCCCAGCATCCACTTGCAGAGGACCTCCGTGGAAGAGGGACCCCTGAAACTCCAGTGTCCACTCCTTTCAGACTCCTCAGATGACAGTCCCAGCGTGACCTTTCCCATGCCTGAGAAAAGAATAGCTCTGTCCACGCGAGGTGGCAAAGGAACCGCCTTTCAGAGGAAACAGCACAGGAGTCTGTAATGATTCAGGGCTCTCTGCTTTGTGCTTTTATACAGACGACACCATGTTTGTCATCTTGGCTTTCTTCTTTTAAAGCAAAGTCCAGGAT